ATTTAAAAATATATTTACCATAAAAATATAAAAGTAAAAATATTATATTATTTAATTAAATTATTTAGTAATAAATAATTTGATTAGTTTAAGAATAAAATTGCAAACCAAAGAATAAAATTACAAACTAAATCATTTATATTGATTTAAAAATTTTATGATTAAAACTAACTCAAATTAATGTTTGTTTCAATTAAATTTTAATCAAACTATATCAATTTTGGTAAGGTAAATCAGTTTGGATGCATACTACAATTTACTAGCTTCCATACCTGACTAAAAATGTACATCGAGGGAGTTGGGTGAAAATCAAAAAATGCGACTATGAGGGGGAGATATGCATACAGCAACCTACTAGCCTCCTCCATACTGGACTATGATGCATATCGTCATGAGAAACCACTACAAGAGAGTCACATCATCCTTCACAAAAACCATTAATGGCATATTCAATTCGAGGAGAATAGGGTATATATGATGAATTTAATTATTGGATTTCAGAACAATGCTTCTAGTTCTATTACATGTAAGAATTTATTCATTCTCCAGCATTTTTCTTCAACATCGCAATGAAGTTCTCCCTGTCCTCCGCTGACATTCCCTCTGCCGAACAATCTCCCACTCCCCACTCCGCCCCTCGAATGCAATACTTCTCTTGAATTTTCTGCCAGTTCCTGCAAATTACCCACAATTCTATCTCATATTCTCAGTCCATTAAGGCAATATATAATTCTCACAAATTAAACCAAGTAATTTACTTTTCTTTGTTCAGCTTGGACCGCTCAAGCAGCTCCTTGAGCAAGGGTGATGACTTAAATCTTGCATCATTCTCTGCATACTTCTTCTGATTCTCTTCTGCAAGTTGTACCCAAATTTTACCATACCATCTTTCATACTACAAATATAATTCAACAGAAAATTATACTAAAAGTTGGGATCAAACCATTTAGCCGATTGAGAAAATCAATCTGAGGTAGCTGAGGACCAGGAACTGATTCTATTCCAGAGAATCCTGATAATAATCCTGCTTTAGCTGCAAAAACCCAGAAACTCAAAATCATCCTTTGTATATAAGATGGACAGTCACAGACCCCACATAGTCATAGACAAAAGGAGAAGATTCTAATTTGTAATTCTTTCTCCCCACCTGGATTTACTGAGAGAAGAAGAGTGAGTGAAGCAGCCAAGGGAAGAACAGACTTTTGCAGAACAATGTGAAACTGTAAGGAGGAAGAAAAAGAGGAAGTTTTCAGTTTTTTACAGCAAAGAATTTTGATTTTGTTCTGATGGTTAATGGGTTTTTCAGAGACTGTGAAGTTCGTGCTTGAGAAAGAAGAGAATGCCGAGAAAACCATGGTTGGCATCTTCCTCCTTGCTTCAAAGAAAGTGGGACTGTGGGAAAGATAAAAGGAAAAGAAGAGAAGAAAAACCAGTGGCTGATATTGTTAATTAAATGCAGATTTTTTTCTTTATCAATAATTCCAAGGTATTGGAGAAGTCGTCACCGTCCTGCATCATTTTAAATAAAATTCTACAAACTCTTTGAAAAATATTAGAATTTTCTGAGCTACCAAACAACCTCATCCTCATAGCACTAATCAAAATATGGTAAAACTACTAATAAAAAAAATGAAAATGATAAGTGTAAAACGTTTTTGTTACAATAATTTATATTACATGATTAATGTTTTATAATTGACATTTTTTGTACATAATACATATGTTTTTACTCAATTAATATATTTTATGTACATTGGGTAAATAGACAAAGTGTAATAAGTAATTTAAAGGATTCCCAAACTCTTTTTATTTTTTAATTTAAACATACATTTTACAAGTAGAGTTACAAAATTAACTAAAATTTTGAAGCTTTTTTAATTTTAATTTTGATTGCACAAAAAAAAAATTTATCCTCTAACCCATTACATTTAGATATTATGTTACTCGAAGACATGATTTTTGATTTTAAAAAAAAATTATTATTAAAATATTTCAAGCACTTTTTAAGACTAATTAAAAAGAACAAAAATATCATTTATGGCAAAGAAAAAAAAAGGCAAAATTGATTTTCTGAGAAGTAAGAATGGTGAAGAAAAGATGCAATATTGAACATGGTAGCCCAAAGGGGTGACCTGAGAACACAAAGTGCATTGGCATTTGACCATTAGACATTGCCTAACCCACCTGTGTTCTCAAGGAGCACTCCTTTGGGATAAACCGGCTGCTATATTATATGTAGCGGCACCATCAGTAGTTTTCAGGCGGAGAACGGTGCGCTCTAGTATTCGTCGATTCTGATGTATATAGTGAAGCCCAACTGCCCAAGTCTTTCTCTTGTTCACAGAATGTCGTCATTCTAGCGATAAATTATCCCACCATGTTGTCATCTTTTCATGATATATTAATGGAAAATAATTGATATATCTTTTATAGGATTTTCTACCATGTGCCCTACATTTTTTTAATTTATATATATAAAAAACGATAAAAATTAATTAAAATTTAATTAATTGACAAATTAAAATGGTTCACGTGATAATAATATTAAAATAAAAGTCAATTTTTATTATTTTGTGTCAATTAATTGTAAAAAAATATATTTATTACACATTACATAGGTTAAACAAATTCATTTTTTATTTGATATACTTATCAATATTTATTAATTCAGTCATTAAATTTTGTAATTAAAAATTTTCTCTTCTTAAATTTAGATTTAAAAATAATAATTTTTTAATGTATTGAATCAAAAAGTGTATTAATTATTTTTCTATATTGACATATTATGGCTACTAATTTCCTTCTAAATTCTTTTTTAACAAAATTTTCTTCTAAATTCTTGAATCTAGAATCAAGAATGTTAGTGATTCAAATCTCTTAGTCAACCAATCAAGCCTAAATTTTTCTTTCATCTCTCAAAAGATTAGGAAAATGAAGTTCTCTCTTTTGGAAAATAATTTATCAATATTTTTTTATGCATAATTGTTTAATATAATCTAATGGATGTGTTTAATATAAATGAATTCCACTGAAAAATATAGATTTTTTTTTTTTTACATCAAATGATTGGGATGGTCTTTTCCTTCCTAAATTTCTCTATACTTATCCTAAAATTTGAATTTGAAATCTTCTAATTTAGCAACTTATGTTCTTAACCATTGAGATTTCTCTTATTAGACCTAAAAAATATAGAGTTCTTCTATGCCCTTATATTTGATATGATTAAAACTTTTCATTCTATTTCCATGATTTTGATTTTATACCACTGTGTTTGGTTTAATTGAAATTGATGAAATGTATTTATAACACTACCCCAATTTTGTTTGGTTTCATAAAAAAATTTGGGATTTAATTCTAAACTTTTAAAGATGGAATTGCTTAAGACTGATTCAATTCTCATCAATTTTGATGAGATTTAGAAATGAATTTCATACTTTTTAATGATTCAAACATTTAAATTATTAACATACTCTTCAAATTAAAACTCTATCACTCTCTTTTATAAAAACTAAGGGTATTCTTCGAAAAATTTAATATTAAACTCATTCTATATTTATTTTGAATATACAATATCTTAAAATTCAAGTAAATTTTTTAATTTTATGAATTATTCCAAACATAAAGGGTTTGTTTGGTTAAAGAGCCAACTTTATTAGGAAAGTTTTTATTAAGAAAATAGTTTTAAAAAAAAATGATACAGAAAGTTGATAAGTTTTACAATAAAATTTTGTTAAAATTTTGTTAGGTTGTTAACTTTTTAATTTGTGTTTGGTAAGAAATTGGTATTGGGAAAATTGATAGAAAAGTCGTCAAATAGGACCTATAAAGGGAAAGTTTGGAGGAAACTTTTTCTTTTTAAAAAATGTAAAAAGACAAGTTTACAAATTGAGAATTATAATAAGAAAAATAACGGCTAAAAATATTACTTTCACTCTTTTTCTATTGTAGTATTAATATGTGAAAATATGTAAATAACTTTGTAAGGAAAAAAGTTTAGAAGAGAGTTTTCTCTAATAAAACAACCCTGAAGATTTAGTTATAAATGAATTCCCAAATGAATTTTCTAGTGATTTTTTTTTTTTGACCTTGGGTTGCACAATAATAGACAACACTTTTTCATCCCTTAACTCACACCACTAACATGACATACAACTTGGATTTAAGATCTTTTACTTTTAGTGAAAAGAGATTATCATTAATTTATTTAGGTTGTTGGCAACAAATTAATTTTTTTAAATGAAATGAATTCTATTTTTATTTAAACCAAATATGCTAAAAAATTTTAAAATATGAGAATTCATTTTTAAATGAATTCACTTACGAATTCATTTGAAAATGAAATGAATTCTAAGTTATTTGCAAATCAAACACACCTTAAATGTCATTTAATAATTGGTTCATTTTACTTTATAAGGATCTGTGTATCATATACATTTATTTATTTAATGATATATAAAAGTTGTAAATAAAAATTATATAAATAAATTATCTACATATTATTACTTTTTTTTCAAAGATATGACATCTTCAACTAGATTTCAAATATGGAACTCTTTTTTAATATTTATGGTACATAAGTGCCTTGGATTTCATATTATTAATTTATTGATTCAATTATTTACTGTTAAATGTGTTGTGTTGGATTTTGATTTGTTATATTACAGTTTGTTGTTGATCTGTGACATGTTATACAATTGCTATGATGTTCTCTTTGTTGTGATGTTCTCTATATTCTTGCCTGTTTTAGTTGTTCTTAGTTTATTGTCCTTCATGTTCTAATTGTGCTATATTTTAGTGCCTTTTTATTATACACATTGTTCTTGACAACTTTTTGATGTTAACAAAAAAGATGTGAAGAAAAAGGCAAGTCTTAAGTTTTGAGTCCTAAATCTCCAAATTTTCAAGCCTTGTAATATTTTAACTTTAATTTATGTGGAACGCTTCTAAAGCTTATTTCAAATTTTCAGTCATTAACTCTTGAGTTTTGAGTGTAATCCTCAAGCCTTACATTTTTTAATTTTTAAGTTATTTAATATTTTGACTTTAATTTATGTGGAGCGCTTTTGAAATTTATGTTAAAATGAATCTCTAAAGAGATTGTATGCTGCACTTTTGAAGTTCATGCATAAATTAAGGGAAAGTTGGTAGATTAGCTTTAATTGAGGGAGTTGTTTCTATTAAATCCTAGTCTTAAAACTTTTAAAAAGATTTTTTTTATTTAAATATCTGTTTTTGATTTATTTGATAGTTTTTTTTTTTTGATAAATCAAAGGTTTTATTATAATAAGGAGTACAAGAGGTACTCCACCCATAGATACAAAGTCATATTACATGAAAGGTCCTACAGAGACAGTCTAGAAGCACAAAAACATAACACAAAATGGGGCTGAAATTATGAACATCAACACTATCTTCTAGTAGTTTCTTGAGCACATAAAGAAGGAGAAATGCACCAGGAAGAAAAAGGAAATACTGTGTTAGTATACTTCCCCCTTATCCAAGCAAAGGACCTCTTTTGGATTAAATCAAAAGTCTTGCCCTCATCTCATTGTTGTGAATTATGGATAATAGAGTTCCTCATAAACCATATGGACCATGTAATCACCAAAAATGTAAGGAACCAAAAGATCAGATTTTACCAGTTGTTTAATCCCTTGGCTGTGAGCTTCACAAAGTAGATCAATTGAGTTGGGGAGAGATAGGGAAATCCCCCACCAATTGTAGCATCTCATCCATAAGTTTTGTATTCTTGAGCATTGAATGAACACGTGATTTTCATCCTTCAAATCCTTCTTGCAAATGCAGCAAACTGCCTTTGCTTCTTCAAGTTGGATGCCTTTCTTTATAAGACCAGATTTTGTTGAGAGTCCATTAAGTAAAAGGTGCCAACCAAAACAACTGATTTTAGTCAGCACCACTCTATTCCAGAGTCTTTTACAAATTATTGGTGTTAGAATACTGTTCTACCCAATTAGCATTGAGTATGCCTTGCCAATTGTATATCCATTTGCATCGTCAAAGCTCCATCTTCTTTGATCCGATTGGGAAGAGAACACCACCCCCCTCGTTAGGCTCTCCTTTAACCTTTGTTCTTTAGTCCTTTTCCTGCCAAAAGATTCATGTCTTCAAGTATTTTTCCATGTCCAATAGCCATTAGAAACTTGGCTCACTTGCATAACATTAGCGTTATTTATTTGATAGTTATGAGTTAATCTTTTGAGTTTTATCATTATCAACAAGAAGGATATTATTGATTGTTGAGTAATTTTGATGGTAACAAAATTCCCTAAAATATTTAATGAATTTGAATTTAAATGCACAATTGAAAAACTTCAAAATGTACCAAAAAAAAAATGCAAAAAATGCAAAAAAACAAAAAAATGAAGAATAAATATAGACTTCCATATTTGAATCTTAAAGCATGAGGATTTGATTCTAGTAACAAACATTCAATTCTAAAAGAAAATGAACTAAAAGTTTGGAAATTGACAAGTCAACTCCTCATTCTCGTATTTAAATCTAAAATCTCAAATATTTGATTCTTGGCAAGGGAAGGCTCAAATAAAGAGAATAGAAAGTTTAGAATTTTGAAGGTGTAGGGCTGAGCTGAATCTGCATTTGAAGATTCGACTCTTTAGAGTGTATATTTGATTCTTAGTTTCAATATTTAGTTCCTGGATTGTATGAGAGAAATTGACTAAATCCTAGAGTTTCTTAAAGAATTGATTCACACTTTGTTGATTCAAGTCTTGAATTTCATATTAGAATCTTAAGCGAACAACAATGGCTAATTTTTTGAATTTGACAATTTTGCAGTGCATTTAATTCATCCAATGACTACAAATGACTAATTTAAACTATGGAGGTATAAAAGAGTTTGATAAGTACATTATAGACTATTTGACACTTACATTAAAGATCTACACCAACTTTATTCAAGATTTTAAGCTCTAACTTGCAAAATCCTTATTTTGAGAATTTATCCATTTTATTTTGTGTATTTGCTTCGAGTGAAATACACATTGTGATATTAAGGAGTGAATTTAAAAGAGTGCTATTTGTAGTGAAGATTGTTTAGGTTTCATTGTAAGTGTTAAAAAGAGAAACTCATTTTGTAAAAAGGGATGATGTGGCTCCTTTAAACCACTTTATTTGATTTACTGATTTGTGCGAGGAAAATCTTAGTTAGATAAGTTAAGTTAAAGAATTAGGTACTAAGTGATTAGAATGAACTTTTATAAATTTCTTATATAGTCTTTTCTTGTCTTCTCTCATTTCATTTAAATTTAGTATTAAAATTTTACAACTCCAATTCATGGACTACATAGAGCCAACAAATACCCTTATTGAAACACAATATTATGATGATTTAATTCATTAAGGTTTAGTTTAGTATAGTTGTAGTTTTGACTTTTTAATTTTAATTTTTATAAATTTTACAACTCTAAATAAAAAAAAAAACTTGTTTATTTTTATGTGTTTTTGTAATATATTATTATAATTATTAAAAAAATAAGAATAAAAATAATGTTGAAACTACTAAACAAATAAATATTTTTACTTGCTAGTATTAAAATTTATTTTGAATAATTTTTAAATTTTAATTTTAGTTTCAATAATTTCAAATTTTATAAAAAAAATAAAAAAAAGGGGTGAAACCACGAAACATACGAAATGGAGCCTAATTTGCCTTTATCAATTATAATATTTGGATTACAATTTTATGTGATATTTTTACGTGATATTTTTACTTGAGCCTCTTATCAAATTTGTATTTTTCAGTGTAGTATAAATTGCCTTATCAATTTTCATATTTAAATTGCAGTTTTATGTAACATTTTTATTGAAATTATCCTTTATAAAATAATTTTAATTTTACAATGGAATATAATTTAAATAAATTAATGTTTATCAGTTAGACTTACAAAAAATTAAATAAAAAAATATTTTGAAATTATATCATTTTAATAAAGTACTAAAAAAATTAAAATATTCTCATTTTTATTTTAAAAATAATTAAAATATTTTAGTGCTTTTTAATAAAATTTTATTAAAACAATATGATTTTAATATATTTTTCATTTAATTTTTTTACTATATAAGTTGATAGTTACTTTCTTGTAATTTAAATGGCTTAATTCAAAAAATCATTTACTAACTTTCAGTTTAATTTCAATTTCATCTATTATCTTTGAATTGTTTCAATTTTATCTATTATCTTTCACATTTATTTTAATTTCATCTAAGCAGTTAAAGTTAAACCTTAGTACTCTAACTATGTTTCTTTTAATCTTTTAGTCCTTAAATTTATATTCACAGTGAAAATAGTTTTTATTCTTATTTTACTAAATGTGTTTTTCAAAAAATTGTTTTACAGAGCAGAATGCTTTCAGTCCACCTTGTAAAATTATTTAAATACCATTAATTTTATTTTTATATTATTTTTGTATGAACATTTAAATAATTTTATAAGATAGATTGTACACAGTCTGTCATATAAAACAGATTTATTCTTAAAATTTTTTATTCTAAATTTACTAAATTTCTCTGTCTGAATTACAATCTATCTCTATAAATTATTTTTTGATTAATAATATTTTATTAGGATTTAAGTGTCACTTTTTTAAAACTCAAAAGACTGCTCTTCCTTCAAATCTAACGGAAATCTAACGGCAATCTAACGTTGTCTTTGTACGGTAGACTAATTTGAAATATTTTTTAAAGTTTCTATATCATTTAGAAATGAAACAAACTTTCTAGACTAAACTGAAATTAAACTGAAAGTTAGTAGATGATTTTTTGAATTAAGCCTAATTTAAATTGCAAAATATTTTTTCCGAAGTGGGTCGGAGTTCGGACTGAAAGGGACTAGCAAAAAAACATTTCTGAACCACTGGACTGCCGTGGAGAGCGTTAGACTGAGACACAGGGCAAGAGAGTGTGAAAATTGATCTTTCTTCCTCCTTCGATCTGTGCTCCCATGAGTCCCATCTCACCAGTTTCCTCTCTTCAATGTCAGCCAAGAAAGGTAACATTACCTCTTCTTCCCCACTTGATTTGCTTGCATCCCTTAATTCTGTTTCGCATTTGCAATTTCTCGCGTACGTTTTCTTGTTGGGAATTGGAATTCATGCAATTTGTTCCAATCTCATGCAATCAAAATGTGCGTCAATAATTTCGCGATGAAAACTTACGCTTGGCTGCAAATCTTGTTCTAAAGTTGAATTCTGATACCCTTTTTCATCTTATTTTTTTGTTGTATGCTTTTTAACAAAAGGAAAGGCATTTGATGGTTGACTCTTCCCTACGAAATATCCGTTTTTCAGGTTCTATTTTGAGGAACATCAACTACCTGGTATTGTCGCTTAATGGTGTAACTTTCCAGGCTGAGTTTTATGGCTAAGTCGTTCTCTTAGTGGAAAATGGCTAAGGTTTTGCTACCTTAACTATAGACTTGTCGCTAGTTAGATTTAGTTTCGTCTATTTTATTCCTTCATGATGTGGGGTTTTGCTTCTAATGCCATTGCAAGCATTGGATTGAAGAAAAACTTAGTTCAGGCCAATGGAGCTTGTTCTGACTGTTCTGATGATGAGGTCCGTTCCAATGTAAGCAGAGAGGAGGGACTGGAATGTCCCATATGCTGAGAATCCTTCAACATTGTTGAGAATGTGCCCTATCTCCTATGGTGTGGTCATACCCTCTGCCAAAATTGTGTCTTGGGCCTTCAATCTGTTGTCTTGAAATTCCCAGCTCAGGAAATCAAAATTCCATTCTTCATCTCCTGCCCATGGTGCCACCTGTTATCACTATGGCTGGTGTATAGAGGAAACCTCAAGTTCCCTCGGAAGAATTTATTCCTTCTCTGGATGGTTGAGAGTTTAAATGGGGATTGGATAAAGTTTGGTGCCTCGAGTGGGGAAAATCAATCAGTTAGACCTCCCAGATACAATCTAATTCTTGGAAATCAAGCTGGCAACAGTGTTGCTAGGAGGTCCTCATATGCTGATCATCCAGAACAACACAGATCTCACAATAGCGAGAGCAGAAACCTTATGGAGAGACACCCTTTTTCCCATCACAAGTCTCTGGATTTCTTTATACATTTCTCATCCAAGTTCCCATTGGTCGTCATATTCCTTCTAATTGTTTTCTTTGTAATACCTGGAAGTGCTATCGTTTTATTACTCTACTTTTTGGTAACTGTTATTTTTGCCATCCCATCTTTATCGGTACTGTACTTCACGTTACCTACTCTGGAAAAGCTGATGAGAGAAATAACCTCATGAGATGTTTTTGGTTCCTCACATAAAATCTTCCTAGATTTTGTCTTCAATACAACCACTTGAATTCATTTTATGGTCTAAACCACTATTTCTCTTCCTCTAATTTTTGCTTTCTAGCTTTCTTTAACAATTAGGTGGAACCACTTTCTGGTAACTGGACCATTCCATGTTGAAACTTTCGGATTAAAATATGGCTTTTGTGATGCAGTGGGATGTAAAATGAGTATTCGAGGCTTGCTTATGCCATTCAGCCAGTCCTCTGTCAATTAGATGGCTTTGAGTCATATTTATTTGTAGTATGAGCTACAGCGTTTAGAAGAATGTGATTCAGAGTTGATTGTAGTGGTCTTTCCAAAGATTCATTCTTCATCAATATTTTAGTCTTTCCTTCTATGTCCTGTAAGATGTGACATTCTATGATTTGATTTCAAGCTTGGTTCATAGATCTATTTAAACAACTGTGCTGTCAATTTGATTTACTTTTATGTATGAGCATGACTCTGCTTGTTCTGTATATCATCACAATTCTACCATCCTAGTTCTTGTTATCTTACTGATTTAAAATGTACAATTTGTTTTGATTATTAGAATCTATGCTTGTGACTTGTGACATGTTTGATGAAGTGCACAGAACATTAATTTCTATAAGAGGTCACTAATTCCATTTGTTGAAGCTTACCTTATAGGATAGGACTATTTTTGCTGAAAAGAGTATTGATTACCAACCTACAGAGCACCACATAGAAGGATATAAATTGAGGAAGTAAGTCTGCAAAGCATGGCCTTGGGTTTGTGTTTGTCTTATTTTCATTCATTCTCATGTGAGTTTTCTCTTCTATGATTATTAAAAGGAAAATTGAACAAAGAGTAGTTCAGATGATATTTGCTCGTAGCCGCCCATGTTAGTTTAACTTTTAATTACGATTGTACGGATGCTCCATGTATTCTAAAAGCATGATTAATTCAACTTCTAACTTTCTTTTACTGCTCATTCTTCCTTTTCTGGTTCGGAGTAACTGCTTTCTCATTATTCATTTTGTTTGTAGCTAGTTTGCTACTCTCTGTTTAGAAAGTAATGTTTTGGAGCACCTAGGAAAAGATACAAACTGCTGAATAAGGTCAGTAGTTTTCTTCACTAAGCTTGTTTCCCTCATTAGCTTTTCTTTTCCCTTCTTCTTTTCCTTTTAGGCTCATCATTTCATTAGTATTCTTGTATCTTTTGCTATTGAAATTTCCTTAAGTGCTCAACCTTTTATTCAGACGGCTAGCAGTTAAATTGTAGTTTTCTTTTCCATTCAAAATTTTTCATGGCAAATATAAAGAAAGTCAAAGTCTTGTTTTTGATAGCAATATTCTTTGCTCTGTAAATGAATAATTGATCTTATATAATTTTATATGGTCTAGAGAGAATATATCTGTCTTAATTAGTAGCTACTTGCTTTTATCTATTTTTATATCATTCCAAATTGGTGGAGATAATTGGTATTTCTCTGAAAGTTGCTTGAAATTTTGTATAATTGTTCTTCTGAGTGTGATAATAGTCAAGTAATTTACATTTTGAATATAGTGAGGCAAGGTAATATTTACATTTCTTCAACATTTAACTTTTATCTTGCAAGCTTGTAACGCAGGATGGTTAAATTGCTTTTAAAGGCAGAAGCATGTCCTTGGAACTCTTCCTGTTGTTCTGATTACATTTGCTTTCTGTCTAACTTTAAGTTCATCATTTCTTTGTCTCTTCTCTGCCTGTGCTCTTGCCCCCTCTACAACCTGCTTGATGTATTCCATCTCATTTTGAAATTTTTTCAAAGCTTCTGCTCTTCTTTGCTCCAATTCACCCTGCAGACCCAAGAAACAGGTAGTTAGTTCCTAAGAATCAGTTTAATTAATTAACAAATGGAAACAAATCCAACAAATTTAACCTCTGTTTTGTGCAATTTGTTTTTGGCTTTTGTCTTCTTTTTGTGCTCCCATTCAGATATAGTTCCATTTAACTTCTGATACCTGTAATCTCTTTGTTAGTGAGGAACTTCACACAGCTATTAAATATTTATTATTGATAAGCTGCAAATGAAAGATTACCGTTCTTTGATCTTAACCATTTGAGCTGTCTCCCAAGTGCTTGCTTCTGTTTCTCCTATTGCAGGTCCACGCGAGCTCTGTTTTTGAGTTTCACTAATTTGTGTTCCTCGTTTAATGGCTTGAGGCTGATCAGGTTTAATGGCACGGATATCAGTCTTTTGTGCTGCAGATCCATTTTTAATGGTAGACATATCAGCATTTGTTGCTCCACGTTCCTGTTTTATGGCAGTGACATCAGGGTTTATAGGCTTAGTAGAAGGCAAATCAGGTTTTGATGGAGTTCTGGAGGGAAAAGTGTTGGTTCTTTCCAACTGTCTATCTGAAAAGGTTGTGGTCTTTTTAGTTGAAGGAGCAGAACTGGCTGCCTTTGCTGGACCTTTTTCTTCAGTGGCAGTAGCTATTGGAACTTTGCTGCCTGCATGTCCTGAACTTCTAATTGAATCTTTACCTGTTCCAGACAATGGTTTCAATTTCTTTTCAAAGTAGTAGTGGAAAAAGATATAAAGTTATACAAAAATTTGTTGTGCAGTCTGGACTGAACTGCACAACTTGAACCATTGGATGGGTTGTCCCCCTATCCAATGGTTCCCAGCTCGCAGTTAGTATAGTCTGGACTGCAAAACCAGGAACTCAAATTTATAACTTCAATTTTATATGGTTATATTGTGCACTGCATCATTGCCTGAGACTTTTTTGGATTCTTCATCATCTTGTAGGGTTGAAATTGTTGCTTCTTCCTTTCTGCTTTTAGGTTTATTGAAAGAGGGGTGAGGACCCTCATCAATCTTTCTCTGATCTCGGATGCTTGATTCTTCTATTGAGTCAATGACATATGCAGCAGCTGCCACGGCAACTATTTTCTCTATTCCATTGTTGAAATCATAACTCTGACTCATTTGGCCTGAAAACTGTCTTTGAAACCAGTTCTGGCCTCTCTTTTTCTCTGCAAAATCCCAACATAGATGTCTGTCATCGTTGTTTCATTGTTTAGTATACCATTTTGAATTTGTTTTAAGAGAGTGAAAACATTTTGGAGATGGTGTTAATAATGATGTTTAGCAATACCTTCTTTGGAAGATTGAGTGTTTTTTGGTGGTTTTTGTCGGTCTTTGAAACTGCTGGACTCTTGTGTGTTTGCAGAAAATCTCGCCCTGGAACAAGTTGTCAGTCAAATTAGCAGCCAATGAACATTTATAAAGGTGAGAAGGAAATGATTTTGCAGTTAAAGAAACATAATTACCTGCTTTGCTTAATTAAATTCTGCATTCTATGCTATGACTCTCTTGAAATCGCAGCCGTTCCAGCGTTGATCTTTTGCAAATGAAGATAGAGCTGCTTTTATTACAAAGGAAACCGCCATTTGAGAAATGGGAGGTTTGTGGAGGTTGGTGATTGCTTATGAATAGGGATGAGTTTGGAAGGCAAGTAAAGTTAGGATATTATGCTTTGCATGCGGAGGCTGATTTGACTCGAGACACGTATTCTTTCATTTGTTCTGAGAACCATTCAGTTAAGTTCATTTTCCTTCTGTTTTGAAAAGGTTGGAGAATTCCATCTGTCAGGCACCTTTTTCTCTGAAAATTCCCACGAATCTCGTTTTAAAAGATATATAACAATTGGGTAGTGATACACAATTTTTTTTTATAATTTTTTT